TGAGGCTGCCAGAAGGTCGAGGTAGACTCAGGAGCATGGGCTGTGAGTGAGGTCCAGGCCAGTCTTTGTTAGTCACTAGCCATGAGATCTTGGCCAGGTAACTACACTTAGATGCCTTGATTTTCCTCACCTGTATAATGGGGCAATGACAGGACTGAGATAAGAATTAGATGAGCAACGGTGCTTAGGTAATGCCTGCCATAAAACTGTAGGCATTGATGGATATGGTGGCTAGGCCCCCTCCAGGCCCCTTGTTCACAGGTGGCCTGGACAGTTATGTGGCCTGTCTTCATCTCAACTCCAAACTCTGTACCCCCTTTTTTTTGGTGGCAGTAATGGGGCTTGAACTCAAAACCTGAGTGCTGTCTTTTAGCTTTGTTGTTCAAGGCTGGTGCTGTGCCACTTGAACCATACCTCCATTTCCAGCTTTTTGGTAGTTACTTGGCATCTCACGGACTTTTCTGCCTAAGCTGACTTCGAGCTGCAATCCTCAGATCTCAGCTTCCTGAGTAGCTAAGATTATAGGCATGCCCCACAGGTCCCAGTGGATCTCCATGTCCTTGATTAGGTGTTGGGATTGTTCCAGAAGCTCCCTGCTACTATCAAGTGCACTGGTTAGGATCCCACCTGATACCCTGGCTCCTTGTGTGATCTGTCATGTCCATTAGGCTATCCAGTTAGGCTCTTACAGCATGGGAGTAGATTCTTAGAAAACAGGTGCTGAGGGCTGGGAATGTGGCTTAGTGATAGAGTGCTTGCCTAGCATGCATGAAGCTCTGAGTTCGAGTCCTCAGAAAAAGCCAGAGGAGGTGCTGTGGCTCAAGTTGTAGAGCGCTAGCCCTAAGCCAAAGAAGCTCAGGGACAGTGCCCAGGCCCTGAGTTAAAGCCCCAGGACCAGCAGAAAAGAAAGAAAGGAAGAAAGGAAGGAAGGAAGAAAGAAAGGAAGGAAGGAAGGAAGAAAAAAGGAAGGAAGGAAAGAAAGAAAGAGAAAGAAAAGATAAGGCATGCCAGGCACCGGTGGCTCACGCCTGTAATCCTAGCTACTCAGGAGGCTGAGATCTGAGGATGGAGGTTCAAAACCAGCCTGGGCAGGAAAGTCCCTGAGACTCTTATCTCCAATAAACCACTAGAAAACTGGAAGTGGCGCTGTGGTAGAGCGATCGCCTTGAACTGAAGAGCGCAAGGACAGCACCCAAGCCCAGAGTTCAAGTCCCATAACCGAACAACAACAACAACAAAAAAGATAAGGCATGGTCCCACCCTGCCCAGGTCCACACTGAGAACAGTGGTGGCAGGCTCCACCTCTCCATCTGCAAAACACCAAACATTTCCTGAGTGCCTACTGTGTACCCGGCATCAAACTGGCTTCTGTGAAGGTGGGGCTGACAATGACTTTATCTCATAGGTTTGGTGTGAGCATGTAAACTGCTTAGAAAGGCTCCCTGTGCACAGAGACGCTCAGGATCTGTGAGCTGTTGCAGTTGTTACCATGATGGGGAAAGGCTGATCTGTACTTATTTCATTCAACTAAATACATCAGACAGCTCCTCTGGATCCACATCTGCACTGAGGACACTGAAATCTCTCTCTCTCTCTCTCTCTCTCTCTCACACAAACACACGGAGGTGGTAGTCTTGGGAAGGCTTTCCAGTATAGGACAGGGGGACAGAGGAGCTCCAGGAGGAGGGAACAGCATGCTTAACAGCTGGGGAGCATCGTTGGATTTGGAGAGCTGGGGTCGCAGTGGGTTGGCACTCAGAGCCCCACCGCAGTGGGTTGGCACTCGGAGCCCCACTCCCACCCCCCATGGTCCCCATCCTTAGGACTTCCTGGGGGCAGGAAGGGCTTCCTCGGCAAGGGATCGGTCCGATGCGCGGGGGTGGGGGGTTGGGTGGGGTGGGGGTGGGGGGGCGGGGAAAGGAAGGGTTAAATATGTGAACCAAAGGGATGGGAAGGGGAAACAAAGGAGGAGGCTACAATGCTTGATAAGAAATGTACTCATTATCTTGCCCATGTAATTGTAACCCCTCTGTACA